TTTTAACAAGCCAAGCGCAGCCAGGGCAAATCTTACCACAGGACCTTCCGCAGAGCAGAAAGATCTGATTTAAGCACACGACGGCGCTGCGACACCCAAATACCCTACAGCAGCAGCCCCATGCCACGGCTACCCGCAGCTCTGGAGCGGGACGTAAACCCGCTTCTCCCCAATTTTCTTACACCAAAAGCTGCAACCTTCCAAATGCAAATCTCACCCATTTTGGTTTTTTATTAAACTAAACAAATCTGCACAGGCCACCGACTTTTGTCTTACAGAGGCAAAGCTGATGTGTTTACTTGGCTGGTGCCCTACCCACAAGGAAAATACCACTGCCCCAGTGTAAAGATCACCTCATGTTCGAGCTGTTTGTTCACGAGGCTGTTTAAAAAAATAATACTAAAAAACAATACTAAAATACAGGGTGGTTGGCAGGATTTGCGGGTCGGTGGGTTAACTTGGGGCCTGGAGAGGAGGTCAGGAAGTGGATTTAGGAGCGTTTGCTCAGGGTAGTTCTCAGAGTTCCCGATGAATAAATGGGTCTTTGTGAGTTTCCTTCATACGTCAGCAAGGGGAGAGGGGAAATGCTCCGGCCGGGATGTGAGCAGAGAGGAGGGACGGGACACCTCACGGACCTGATGTTTCTGCTCAAGGTCCTCCCCTGCCGTTGTCTGTTTGGTACCAAGAATAAGCACAAAAGCCACGTCAATAAAAACACCTGAACGGCTCCTGCGGGGGATGCAGGGACATCCCCGCTCTGCGTCACGGGGGACCAGGCCTCAGACGGCCGCAAGAGGAGGGAGGGGTGGGAGGGGTGAAGACCTCCACCAAAGCGTGCCAAGTTTCACCCCGCACTCACGCACGAAGCTCAGGCATTAAACCGCCACCGCCTCTGCCCCAGGGGCCTCTCGGATAAACTCTGGTATTTCTCAGCGTAGCCCCAAGCAATTCAGCTCCGATAAGCAGAGCCCAACCCAGCTGGCAGATAATTTTCCTTTCATTTAGAATTTTTTCCACTCCTGGACTTTGCCACCCTGACACAACCCACGCTCAGCACTCACCGTGTCCTGGCACGCGTGACGGGATGCTCACGCCACTGCTTCTCTCCCTTGAGGGACCCACAGGGTTGCTCCTTCCCCACTGCGTTCGCTCTACCTGTAGGAATAAAATAGTTTTGAGCACTCTCAAATCAGGGTGGAAGCGGGCAAGGGGTTCAAAGAGCTCTGGGAACACAATTCAGTTCTTGTTTCTTCGAGAAATCACCCTAAAGACACGCAGCAGAGCGGAGCTTTGCTCTCCTCAGGGAAAGACTTGGACGAGCGCTGAATCCGACAACCCCACGCGCAGATGAACGGCGAGTTTTCATTTTAATCTCCCACTTCCACCGTTTTTCCCTCCCCCAAGCTCTCAGCAACCCCCTCAACAGGACAACAAGTGGCCCTCCCTTTTTCCTAGCCCATCCTCTGCGCTCACTGCCAGGCAGCTGGTGTCCAGCCAAGTCGGAGGAGAGTGCAGGAGGGTGGATTTTCTCCTTTTTAGGGAAAAAGCGGGGGGAAAGCAGAAAGTTTCTTCCATTTTACTGCAGGAAGCAGCAGCAGACGCTACCCAGAAGTGCCCTCACGTTGATCACGGTGCCTTCTCTTCCCCCTGCCACAGCTGGTCAGGCAGCAGCATCCCACGCAGGCTGCTCTCGCCGTGGGGTAACAGCGCCGGTACCGCTGGGCTCTCTCCTTCCCAGTCTCTGCCGCTGAGAGAAGACAGGCTGTACTGGGACGCAGGCTGCGTCCTGCTCGGAGCCTCCCTGGGGGTGAAAGAAGAAAATACGAGAGGAGAGATCCCCAGCTGAGCTCTGTTAAAAGCAGTTTATCTTATGTCTGAAAACCCCGCTTACGACCACGTACGAAGGTACCGAGTCGCTCAAGGGGAACGGGATTGCCAATACAGGGTGAAGCCGACTGGAAACTTTTCAAATCCGCTCTTGGCTGAAACCTGTCTCGGCTCCTTCCGGCTGCAGGGTTAGTTGGTCACGAGTTTGCACGTGCAAATTGAGCAGACAAAGCTTTTTTTTTGTTACCCAAAGAGGAACTAACCTGCACCATTGTTGCCAGGTTTCAAAGGAGACCATGCAAAGAACACAAAAAAAAAAAAAAGAGGTGACATCTCAGTGCTTTTTTTTTTTTTAAATCCATTTATTGACTTTACCGCACAGAAAAAAAAAAGTACAAAGAAATATAAAAATTCTGATCCTTCAAAGCAAGTTGCATTTCACTGCAGCAGAAAACAAACCATTTGCTGATTCAAACCGACAAGGCAGCTGGCCTAAAAGTAGTAACATTTGGCAAAAAACCCAATGTACCAACAGATACCATCCGTTCAAAAACGTGCTGTGTCCAAAGGGAAGAGGTTATGTGCACCTTGACCCGTTTGAAACACATTGCATAAATTTAAATACCATAAAAATCAACTGTGGGGTAGGAGGAGATTTAGGGAGGAGTCCCCCCGATTTAGCCTGGCGCAAGCTCTGTGCTTCCTGGGCACCAAGCAAACCAACAGCTCCCGCTGGGATGTGGTACATCCTCGTTAACCTGACAAACGAGCTCACGCTCGGTCCAACCTGACGATCGAGACAGTCGAGGTACGACCGAGGGTCCCGCTCTCACTCGGGACTCTGGCGCTTTGGCTTGCCGTGAATAACTAACTGCCTGGGTGGGATTTCCAACACAACGCAGAATGGCGGAGGATGGAAAGGCATCTGAAAAAGCTGGTGGGATAGAAAAGCAAGCAGACGGTGGGGAAGAAAAAAAAAATAGCCTTTGTGAAATATTTTTCAATTTAAAAAAAAAAAACGGACAAAGCAGGAAAACAGCACGCGTGCTCTTCAAATTCAGGAAGGAGCAGCTCGGCAGCGCACGGTGTTTCACATGTCAGAGTACGGTTTCTTGCCCCCCACTGTCATTAGACAAAAGCTGCCACCTCCCACCCCGCATCCTGTCCATAAATCAGCGAGCCCCTGACTTATCCTACGGGATCTCTGAAACAGTGGAGTCTTGTTGCAGGAGTTCCCACCCTTTTCAGAAGGCACATTTCCCCCCAGGGTTGTGTTCCCAGACTCGTTTTCCTTTCTCTTCCCTCCACCTCACACTCCCGTTCTCTAAAATAGCTTCTGAAAGTACTTTTAGAATCAGAAAAGTTTACTACGGAAAGCTTGAAAGCTATTTAAAGCCAAGAGGGACTTTCTTCCGCTCTTTGTGCTTGCTAACAGCCAGGGGAAAAAAAAAAAAAAAAAAGAAAAAGAAAAAAAAAGAGGATTTTTCTTTTATTCTTTTAGGAGAGGGTCAAGCCCCTTCTCCCCTCTTACATGGCAAATGAGCCATTAGGAAAAAAAATAAAACACAGCTGTAGCTTTCATGTCCAGACAAGGAAATGTCTTTGCCCTTGTCAAATGTGACTATCTTTAGCAGCCACAGGGCAGATTACCAATTATTCACAACCTCGGGAAGGCCGGAAAAAGGCCGGCCTCATCCCATGAGTCGCTTTCGCAGCCAGCTGGAGGGAAGTTAATCCGACCGCGATTCTTCCTGTGCAGTCGGCCAGTGCACGGAGAGGGTGACTCACGTACGGCTGGCACCAGCTTCGGGCGCAGACGGGTACCTGTGCAAAGAGCTCTAGATGCCTCATACCCATTTTTTTTTACACCCGTATTGGAAAAAACAAAAGCATGAGCCAGGCAGGCACTTCATGCCCTCTTCAGAAACGTCCCATCTCAAACAAACATCTTTGGAGTTGAACTACAAAAATAAAACCAACTTTGCAGCTGTAACTTGTGAATCACTGTGTTTTGCAGCCTTAAATACAAGCAGAACATCCCAGGCCCTCGTGTAAGTGCTCACAGTAATACCAAAGTGACATTTGGCTACACAAAACCTCCGAAGCCGGGCCCGGCAGAGCCTAGGAGGAGCGGGGAAGAGGTTGTGCCAGCGATACCACAAGCCCTTTCACACGCTGGTCGCCTGCTCCGGAGGAGACCCCAGGGAGAAGACGTCCCGTGGTGACGCGCAGGCAGAAGAGACAGCGCCACAACCATTTCCCAAGGCGCTTGGCGCTCCGCAGGCACGGCGCTGCCCAGGGGACGAGCAGCCACCTCGGCTCTCAACCGGGCAAGAAAGCGGCACTTCTCCAGGAAGAGCTGGTAGCCAGCTCCACAGCCGACGGAGGCTGACTGCTCCAGGGCCTCAACACGGCATTTTTGAGGAAGAAACCTGAAGGGCGGCAAGTTTCATTCATCCCAAACGCTTCAGGATTACCGTACATTTTACGTTACCACGTAACTACGTTTTACAAGGGGGAGGAAAGCAATCTTCCCAGGAAAAGTCTGCTACAACTCTGCCGCGACAATTTGGCACGAAGCTTTTCTACGCCTAACCTGCCCTCCTTCACATCAAACCGCAACCATCGCCTTTAGTGCAAACACCCGAACGCCGGGGATCGTGAGGGAAAAGACCCGCGCGGAGCAGAAGATGTGCGTGAGGAAGTTTAAGCTACAACCCAGGGGTCAAGGACAGCTCCAGCGTTTCCAAAGATGAGCACGAAAGAGAGAATCTAGATGATAAACTCTAACGATGTCTTCGTCACAAAGAGGAAAAAAAATCGAATCAGAGTCCTTGGCGGATCATTTCCAAAGGAGTGCAATCGGTCACGCTCCGAACTTTAGCGTCCAAATACAATGGACAGAGGAGGAGAACGTCTGTCTCTCAAGCAAGACTGTGCTGGTTACAAAGGCAGCTCTATGACTCGGGAAGGGGAAGAGTCAGATGGCTCATTTCGCAGGCAGATATTTTTTTTTTCCCTCCAAAAGGAGACGTCAGTACAGTAGATGGCAAATTCCATTTCATTTGGACACAAAAGTTCTGTCAAATGCTGGGGACCGGCTTCTCCCGGGTTGCAGGCGAGAAGCCAGACGCCCAACCGGAAA